ACAAAAAATACAAAATTTCAAAATTTTCCGTGTGGAAAATTATACCAATCAAACACACTTAATTAACAATTCCATTGAAAACAAGTTTTAGGCAATTATTTTATCTGAAATTCATTTTCTTTCCACCCTTTTTCCACCTTTGCAATCAAACGGACCCTTAATGCGATAAGGGGACTCGATATTGACAGATAAAAATAAGTGGTTGATGAAATATTAGAGCAGCTAAGGGTTGAGAATTCTTCACAAGAATCTATTAAATCAGCCATGAAAAATTTGAGGATTCAAAGGTTTGATCTAATTTTATTAAATTAGTCACTTTTTCCAATTTATTTAATATTTTTTAAAAAAAATTAGCACCTGTAGAACCCTTTGTATCCCCCACCAACAATCTGGCACAACCTAACAAAATTTATGAAAAACTATGAACACATTGTTTGTCCAAAAAAATCAAATTTTGATCACATTTTTGTAACTTTTCTCTACTTATTTATAATCACGCGTTCAAAAAAATAAAAATTAAAGAATCACTTGTCAAAAAATCTTTATCAAACAAGCTCTTAGTATTTATTTGATGTTTTATCAGAGCAACAAAATATGGATGGCCGAATACTTATGTTTCACTAAGGCAATGGGATTGATGCTGTTGGGACACATGAAAGAAGATATTCCTCGTGTCATCATTCGTCCATTGTAACCAGTAGTACTTACAAAGAACCCTTCCCGGGTTGGATGGAAGGGATCAGGTAATTTAACCATATCATATTATTTTGTACGAATATTGAGATATTAGACACTTCGACTCTTCTTTTCTTTAACAAATTAAAATTTTGATTTCACAGAACCATTGATCGCTTAGCTGTTGGTTATGGAAAAGGAAGACTTAGGGGTGTCCAAAAGTCCCGAACCGAACCGAATCGAGCGGTTTTTCATAAATTAAATACACAAACGGGTACCCAAGTCGAGAACCGATGGGTTTGGGTCGGGTCTCGGTTCTAGAGCAAGACCGAAGAATC